TAACCTAATCTGTTTAACACCTAATATCATTCAGGGAGTTCATATGTTTAGAATTTAAACTGGCATAACAAAAAAACGAATTACAGATTCAATGCAAGATTTATAATATGAGAGTCCTGCTAATATTAAATGTAGTAAACCTCAGCACAGAGTAAAGTCCCTGCTGGTGTTTCATACATACTGCCTCAGCGTGAACATCAAAACGCATCTTGTCAATAGTAATTCCAAGATATTTGTAGCTGTAAACCCATGCCACCATTTGACCTTTTATGTAAGGTGGTTGTGGAACAGGAGGGCTGGATCTTCAATTACCATGACTTTCGTACATTGACAAAAAGCATTCTCACACCACATGACATTTCTCTTCCCGACTCAACAATCAAAAACAGTGTCTAATGTTGGGGGATAACGCAATACAAGTAACATGAGCTACGTAATCAGATTACTTTTTCAACCAAGTAATAAAGTAATGCATTGCTTTTTAATTTACCAGTTACCTTGTTTTCCAATTTATTGACCAGCAGCACAGCTGACATGAGCTGCGCCCTCTACTGTACAGATGTGAATTTACATTTCCTTCCGCCTGAGGTTTATTCATTTAATAAAAAGATTGGGGATGCAATGAGTGCAGGCAGCCTAAGGACAGCAGCATATTTCAACCCCAGTGGCATGACAACACCGGCCCTAGCTCACGGTCAAAAAAACAGACCGGCCCACCAAGTATTCTCCCGGTGCTCCTATTTAGGGCTTGCTAAGGGCTCATCCACATGATGCTAAAGCTTTCCCTATCTGATATTTTTTTTCCTTGTTCTTTCATAACATGTCATCTCAAAATAATACCTGCGTAAACATGAAACCACTGAAACTGATGACCACTCAAAACGATGTACATGCCAGACCAGTATGTGGCAATGTAATTTGCCACAGCGATACACTAAAAATGGAGAAGAAGACTGGGAGCATGCGCATAAGCCTTGCGTGCTATATACAAACCCAACACAACAACAAGAAAAGCTATTAAAGTTAGTAAAGCTAATATTGTTTTCAGATGTATCCACTCTGGGGAAAAAATAGCAGATTCAGGCTCCCAAAACACCGGATCTGTCTGGACGAAATGACGATACAAATTTTTTACGTATACAGCTAAACGCGTCTCCGTGTGGATGGGCTCTAAGACCTGATATGCTTGGGTCAGAATAGAGACATCCAAATGTGCACTGTTGGGTTTACTCCAGGACCAGGACCTGAACTAGAGTAATTGCTGTTAGTGCTCATGAGAGACAATTACAATAAATCTTAATTATTACAATTTACTGATAGTCACAGATACCATATACAATGGGGAAAATAATTATTTGATCCCCTGCTGATTTTGTAAGTTTGCCCACTTGTATGGATTTCAATCCATTGCAGCATAGTGGTTTGCTTGGTAAACATGCAGGTATTTTTAAAATATAAGTACAATGTAAAAACATGTATGTATACAATAAGTCCATCGTACCAAATGATTCATTTAAATGTAAGTACATAGTTGTTAAGGCCGCTTAATATAAAGTGGGACCCCATTATTGATTCAAAGAGCTGATGGCAGTATGCAGAGGTCCAAAAACTGAGCTTGATAGGGGTGTTTGGGTGTTGTGCTGATATGATGCTCACAGTTAAATAGTAACAGTAAAGCCTGCCTTCTTTGATTTGATGTATTATCTCTGTCATTTTGACATTGACAAGCACTGTTGGACTGCTGATCAGCTCAGACAAAAACATTGTACACTGTATGGCGCTGTACAATATCTTTGCAGCACCAAAGTACAGTTATTATTAGGCAAATATTTCAATAATTTAATTATACACTTCGGGAAAACAATATGGGTGTGGTCACGCATTGTGGTAATAAAACAGCTCAGTTAAAGCCTATACTTTATAAATGTGCCCTTTTTTTCTTTTTCTTTTTACAGTGGGACTAAGTTTTAATTAAGGTGGTTGTAAAACAGCTATTTTCATGTTGTTGTTGTTTTGTTTTTTTTTGGCGTACCATGGATGAGAATCCTGCAGGCGTCTCTAGCCGTGGGCCTCAACAAAGAAGTGATCATCAGAGGAATGTAGGCAGAAAGCAGCATACTGTCATTTCAAATGAAGTCCATGCCATCATTGACCACGTGGTTAACAGAAGCATGGCAGAAGCTGCCAAATTAATTCAAACTAACCTATAAAGATCAGCTGTCAGCTCCATCATCAGAACATTTAGCCAAGAAAACCAGTCTGCTACAGGAACAATTTACAATACTTTTGCAGTACAGTAAATGGCATTACTGTATAGAATAGTGAACTAAATGTAATTGTCACACAATAATATATCATTTATAGTCATAACATTTACAACATATTGTCTTTTACTCTCAGAACTGACAGGAGACAACCTGCTGGCCGCTCACGTGTACTGACTGAACAGCAGGAATCGGCTGTGGTGGAAATGGTCAGGGAAAAGAATAGCATACGGCTGTCTGAAATAAAGCAGGTTCCATTCAAACAGGAAAGCAATGACCATTCAAACTGGTTCAATTAGTTCACCAAAAAGAATTAAGGATTAAAGGTAATAATGTTGTAAATAATGTTCAGTTTCTTGCACAGACTGATCGTTTCTTTTCATGAGACCTCAATATATCGGCAGGAGCCACAGGGATTAATTTTGTGCTCCTTGATATGTTTTTTTTTTATTATTATTCTCAAAAACATGTAGGTACTGACTTGCATTTTATGAATCACAGAGGACCACAGTTTCAGCTAAAACTCTTCTTTACTGTTCTACTGAATTAAAAAAATCACCTAAGTCTTGGATGGCCTGAGAGTGAGTAAATTAACAGCAAATTAAAATTTCTGTGTGAACTATCCCTTTAAAGGTACAGCGCTGTGGTGTATCATACATAATTTTTTTACGAATGTGAGAAATGCTTTTTACAGTACTGTACTACACACTACCAATGTCAACTATTCTTTGCAGAGGGTTTCAATCTGCCAAAAACCATGCTGTGGGCATAACCTAATTGGCCAACAGGCAAGCATCCAAGTGCTTGGACAATGTGAGGAAAACAACTCATTGTGTGTGGCTATATGTGAATATTCTGTGGCAGGCTGTAGACCAGTTCTTAGATCATACAACACTCTCACTTTTCTAAATGAACTTGAGCAGGCCTGTCAGGATGAATATATTGGTTATATTAATACGTGGGATGATGTCAGTTTCCACCATGCAGAGCTTTATCGAAAATAGTTTCAGGCTCATCCTCAGTTCAAGAGTCTCTATTTTACACCATATTCCCCTTTCCTCAATCAAATAGAGTAATACTTCTCTACAAGGAGGTGGAAGGCTTGTAATGACAAATTCAGAGCAATGTTAAGCCTGGATTATGTTTCTCACAGTGCATGAATGAGGATATTCACTGTGATATTGATGAACATTTATGGCCAAATGTTGAAGATAGGCTTAATGATAACAAAGTGTTTACTGTAAATTTATTTTGTTTCAAAATGCAACAGCAGTATTGTTGTGAAAACACTGTAAAATATTTTTCCTGCACACAATGCCTTTTGAAGTGTTCTTTGGTCACGTTTTGCTATATATATATATATATATATATTATAATGGCTTTTGTCATTTTGGTTAGATAATGTAAGAGTAATATCTATTGATAACTGTGTATACTAAATTACAGTACAGTTACCACCATTGTTAGCTACTGAATTAACTGTCTGTTAAAGTATTAAACTTGAAGAAGATAATACTGCTGTGTTCTGGCAATCAAACCAAATGTTTACATTAAATGTTAGAAAAGGAAAAAATGAAAATCAATATATACAGTACATTCAGGAAGACTGTGCTTTCTGTGACTGTGAGATTTTAATTTTGAATCTGATTTTAATTTGAGATATGAATTTGAATCTGAGTTTAATATCGAGAACTGTGTGGTGTTTTGCAAAAAAAAAACGGTGATATGGAATTAAGAACTGAGCGTAAAACAGAAATTGAGCAAATTCCGTAGATTGATTTGGTAAATACATTTCAGATTTTAGTAATTGCATTTCAAGTTCCAATTTTATTGTTTAAACAATTGGGGAAAAGATGTAATAGGCTTTTTTTTCCCTTTTTTTTGAGCACTAAATCAGCATATGAGTATGATTTCTGAAGTACCATGTGACACCGAATACTGTAGTAAGGATGTTAAAAAACTTGCCTTTCCATCACAGAAACATATATATACTAACAATATATTTATTTTTATATATTTGAATTTTATTTTATTTTGAAACAAATTAGAAAAAAAAAAAACATTACTTTTAATAGTAATAATATTTCACAATATTACTTTTTTTAAAGACATTAAAAAAACATTGCATAAATCTTACCTCTCCCAAACGTTTGAATGGTTGTGTATATTTGCAGCACTTTTTTTTTATTATGTGCAATCAGTAATTATGTTAGCCTATATATATCTTATATATCTTAGCAGAACATTTACAATAAAATGAAATAATAATCATTCCAAACACAGCTAATTGCAATTTCAGCTGAAAGCCTACACATGTGTCCTGTTTTAGCCTTGTTGCAATATTTCAGTGTCTTTCAGGGATGTCTCATAAATTATTTTCTTTGGGAACATGGATCAAAGAAGACAGGTTGGTTGGGAAATAAGAGTGGCAGAAAAAGGGAGGACAAGAACCCTCACAGTACTGTACATGTTCATGATTAGTACTGATTATACTACACATTTCTGTAATTAGCTGTTGTTGTTGTAGTAGTAGTAGTAATTATTATTGCAGTCCTGAATTACAGGATTCAAAGTGGCTTTAGTATTGGTCAACTATGAGGTACTTAAATTCAAAGCAAATATTACAATAACTATCTTTCATTTTCACCATAATTTTCTCTGAACTGCAGTTCTAGAAATGTGATGGGTAGAGTAATATGCGCGTGAAGATCTGTACAGACATAATGTATGACTGACCTGAAAGGACTGGAGAAATGAGTTGAAATAGATGAATACAATCTGAGATATGTCATCCTCGCCTGGGTTCACAAAAAACAGCATGTATGTGATACCGAGCAAAGGCAGAAGCACTAGAGTGGCCTTCACCGCTTTCCTGCAATCACAGAAAGAGAGAAAATTAAGAGGGAGCAACAAAAAAATAATTCATTTTTTGCCACATAACTGATTTGACACTTTCCCTAACTTCAACCTCTCGTTACTTTTTAAAATATTGAGAAATTGTGTGACAACTGTTAGCTATGTCAGTGACAACAAATTCATACCAATCAGTGCTTTACTGTATTTAAACTACATTCAGATGTCCCAAATTTCGCATGGTGGCAGACCTAATATTAAATATAGCAGCTGAAACACTCATAAAAATAAAGGTTCCAAAAATTACTCTTCTATTGCATCACTACAAAAACCTCCCGTTTTTTTGTTGTGATGCAATAGAAGAGTCATTTTTGATTCCCCAAAGAACCTTTCAGTGGTCAGTTCTTAAAAGAACCATTTTTTTCTTAGTGTAAGGAATATTTTTATAATCTAAAGAACCTTTTTCCACTATAAGGAACTTTCTGTGCAATGGAAAGGTTCCATGGATGTTAAAGGTTCTTCAATCAACCATCAATGCCAATAAAGAACATTTATTTGTATGAATGATACAGTATAACATTTCAACATGGCCAACATCTGAAGGTTAGGAACATGGAGTTCCTGCTCTCCCAAATGTGAACCGCAGACCAGCAGCTGAATTTTGATTACTTGCGCAATAAAATGTCATACTCTAATAAGCTCTTCAAATGTAATAATTTCCATTCCATTCCAAAACATTAATTTCCTGTTACTCTTAAATACAGTATTTTGTCTATAATGTATAATTTGGCCTCTTATCAAATGTGACAACAAAACACGCTTGTGATGGACAATATGCCAGCAGAAGAGAAAATGAGAAAAAATCTAAAACTACGATTTTCAGAGGGACGGTGAGAATTAAAATGTCTGCATTGCTCAGCAGGATCTTGTAGCGTATCAGACAATTTAAAATTCGATCAGAACGGTGTTGAAAAAAAAACCACACAAAGAGCCAAATTCCACATAGAGGCCCAGAATAACAAGACAACGTCATAAATCTGTCCAGGATCCTGGCAACACGAGTCTGAAGCAAGCCGAACCAACCAACTCTTTCGCAGCTTTGAACAGCACACAGCATTAAAACAAAAGAACACTTACTGATCATTTCAACTCAGGTGCTAAACATTTCAACTCATTTCAACCCTAACCCTAACCAAATTCCCTATAAATTTATAAATATTCCCTTTGAGCTAAATTTACCTGTTTCCGTTACAATCTCTAATGTTGTAGAGATACTCAGATATTTAAGGAAGCTAGTAAAAAGCAGACTAATATTCCATTAGAATAATAAATCACTATGCTTGTGTTACAATATTGCTTCTGCACTTCTACTGCAGTCTCACACCACTACAGTACATGCTCACATTTCTCTTTGTGTGTCATCGTGCCGCTTCAGAGCTGCCTGCCTCAAACCTTGCCTTGCCATATTTACATAAGCACATTCAAGACACCACTGTACACTGAAAACACTTTTTTGTGATAGGCTATACCATGTTTCACTTGCATCTTCTATTGTGAACCCCGCCACACTTAAATGAAATCCCTTATGTTTGAAATTTGAAAGCCCCCAGTTTTTCCATTTTAATCTTGTTTGCCCTAACGCAAAGACTATCAAAAGACAACTGTGTTTTTATTAATGGTGTGAATATTTTTTATTATTGTTCTTGTTGTTTTTTTATGTGTCTATGCAAAATGCTGTTCTCATGCACTTTGTAGTGTTGGGTCATTCATGAGCAAACCAAATCACATTCTCTGCATTCACAGAAAGGGATTTTTTTCCAAAATCCCTACATGGATGGTGATTATAATGATTGCTACCTGATTGTACATAAAAAAAGCTCATAAAATTACATAAAAAATGTAACTTGAGCTGTACACACTGATGAATGTACACAGGAAAGCAACGGCTGAGGTCAAGTGTATTTGCTAAATAATACATTGAGCTGCATTTGGGGAAGTCGTGGCCTAATAGTTAGAGAGTCGGACTCATAACCCAAAGGTTGTGGGTTCGAGTCTCATACCGGCAGGGATTGTAGGTGGGGGGAGTGAATGTACAGCGCTCTCTCCCACCTTCAATACCACGACAAGGTGCCCTTGAGCAAGGCACCGAATCCCCAACTGCTCCCCGGGCGCCGCAGCATAAATGGCTGCCCCCTGCTCCTTGTGTGTGTTCACTGCTGTGTGTGTGCACTTTGGATGGGTAAAAATGCAGAGCACTAATTCCGAGTATGGATCACCATACTTGGCCACATGTCACATGTCACTTCACATGTCACATGTCACATTTCTTATAGAATGAACAAAGGTGTCTTAACATCTGAAGTTTACATACATGTACATCCAGTGCTGGTCCTCCCTATACGCAGAGGACGCAAGTTGCGAAGGGCCCCCGACCCACAAGGGGGCCCCCTTGCTCTCAAAGATGATTTAATGACTAGGGCTGTGAAATTGATAGTTTTGGTTTTGATTTTGGCTTCTGATGATTATGAAATCACGATGCCATATTCTGTTCCTTTCCTTTAAAGCGGTGCCTGTGGCCCTTCCTACATAACACCCAAACCAGGTGGATCATGTAACACGGATGCCCAAACTTGTAAACCTATTGTAGGAGATTCCAAAAACAATATTAGGAACCTTAAAAATGGCATAATAGAGGCAATTTAATTTACTGTTTACTGACATACAAACTGCTCTGAAAGAACAGATTCAGGGGTTGTTTTGGGGTTATTATGAATGCACTGACAGGGGCCCTTGACAAAGTTTTGCTTAGGACCCCCAGAAATCTAGGACCGGCACTGTGCATATCAGACATAAAAACATGGAGTTCCTGCTCTCCCTGTAATCAAGTGTGAACTGCAGATCAGCAGCTGAATTTTGATTATTTTCACTTTAATAACTGTGTGCCAGAGATGTCATGCTCTAATAAGCTTTCCAAATGGAATAATTTGCCATTCCATTCCAAACCATTCATTTCCTGTTACCCTTAAATACAGTAGTTTATCAAAAGTAAATTTATCATCAATCGTCAATAACATATCATTTGGTCTCTTATCAAATGTGACAACAAAATACACCTGCACTGTAAATTTGAATATGTTAATGTCTCTTGAAAAAATCTTGCAAACTTATTGCCTCAGAAAAATCTAGTTACGGTTACTTAGTATATTCAAGATCATAAATGTGAATATACTAAACATACTTTAGTATTGAAAATACTAAAGTTAACAAACTGAAATTTATAGTGTGTTGGATGGACATTATTGTATGTTTAAAGGTGCCTTAAACAGGTTTGTTGTAGTATGCCTACTAATATAGCCTTAAAAAGTGACTTGAATTAATGTAATGACATCATCAAAAACATAATTAACAAAACATAACTGCAGTGACCATCTGATCTGGATGGCTACGGTGACCTCGGAATAAGAATGAAACAGACTAGTAGTGTAGATGCCATTCTTATTATGATGTACATCAACAAGTACATCAGTTGTTATGGGAAGTGTTCCCGGTTCCGGCTGACCTAATTGATGCTGATTTATACTCCCAAGAGTATCATGTAAAGTGTGAAAAGCAACGGTCCTAGTACTGAGCCTTATGGTACTCCATAGTGCACTTGCGATAAATATGACACCCCATCGTTCACTGCTACGAACTGATGATGGTCAGATCAATATAATTTGAACCGCGCCAATGCAATTCCACTAATGCCAACATTATTTTCTAGTCTAGTCAAAAGAATGTCGTGGTCGATAGTGTCGAACGCAGTGCTAAGATCTAGTAGCACTAATAGAGAGATTCATCCACAATCAGATGATAAGAGCAGGTTATTTGTAACTCTGATGAAAGCAGTCACTGTACTATGATACGGTCTAAATCCTGAATGGAAATCCTCTCAGATACTATTTTTCTCTAAGGAGGAACATAGTTGTGAGGATACTGCCTTTTCTAGTATCTTTGACAGAAAAGGGAGATTTGAGTTTGGTCTGTAATTAACTAATTCTCTAGGATCAAGTTGTGATTTTAATGAGATGCTTAATAACAGCCAGTCTGAAGGTTTTTGGGACATATCCTAATGACTGTAACAAATGATTAGCTTGGAATAGAAATAGGATCTAACATACATGTTGTTGGTTTAGATGATTTAACAAGTGTCCTGTCCTATAGCAGAGAATGAGTGGAATTGTTCCTCTGGGGATCTATAGTGCACTAGGGATCACAGCGCATCTGATGTGATACTGTAGCTGACGGCTGCATGGTTATAATTTTATCTCTAATAGTATTGATCCTGGAAGTAAAGACATTCATAAAGTCATTACTGCTGTGCTGTTGTGAAATATCAGCACCTGTTGATGCTTTATTTTTTCGTTAATTTAGCCACTGTACTGATTAATCCCTTGTGTTGTGTTTATTGTCTTCTAAAAGAGATGAAAAGTAAGCAGATCTAGCAGTTTTAAGGCTTTTTTGTAGGAGGAAGTACTTTCCCTCCATGCAATGCGAAACACCTTTAGCTTTGTTTTCTTACAGCTGTGCTCCATTTTCTGGGCTGCTCTCTTTAGGGCGCAAGTGTGCTTGTTACACCATGGTGTCGGACTGTGTTCCTTAATCGCCTTTAAGCATAAAGGAGCAACCATATCTAAAGTGCTAGAAAAGAGAGAGTCCATAGTTTGTTATAACATCAAGTTTTTCTGAGTTATTGGATTTGCTAAGGAATTGAGACAAATCAGCAAGATTATTTACAAAGCAGTCTTTTGTGGTAGAACTGATGGTTCTACCATATTTGTAACAAGGAGTTGAATTTGCAGCTTTAGCTATAAGGACTATACACAAGACTAGATAATGATCTGATATATCATCACTCTGCTGCAGAATTTCAACGCCATTAACATCAATTCCATGTTACAGTATTAAATATAGAGTATGATTACGAAAATAAGTAGATCCTGACATGTGCCGTCTAACCCCAATAGAGATTAGAATGTCTATAAATGCTGATCCCAATGCATCTTTTTCATTATCAACATGGATATTAAGGTCTCCATCAATTAAGATTTTATCTGCAGCCAGCACTAACTCAGATAGAAAATCTGTAAATTATTTGATAAAGTCTGTATGGTGCCCTGGTTGCCTGTATACAGTAGCCAGTACAAATGTCAATAGGCATTTATCATGAACACTTATTACACTAAATAATGTTACATAAAGTACCATTACTTCAAACGAAGTATACTTGAAATCAGACCTCTGAGAAATACTGAAAATATTACTACAAATTGTTGCAACACCTCCCCCTTTACCCTTTGGACGTGGCTCATGTTTATAACAGTAATCTTGGGGGGTAGACTAATTTAAAGTAATATAATCATCTGGTTTTAGACATGTTTCTATCAAACAGAGCACATCTAGGTTTTGATCTGTGATCACATAATTTTAAAAAAGTTAAATAGCTAAAGTCAATGGTTAAATATTAGAAAGAAAAATCATAGAGACATCAGTAGTACTGGTATCAGTGATACTCACCTTCAGTCATAAAAAAAAGATGCCATTAAACAAATATTAAAAATATACTGTCTTTGTTTCTACTTTCACTTCAAGATTGAATGTGAAATTAGTGCAATATAAAAGTATATTTGAAAGCTTTAACGTTAGGTGCGATTAAGTAGTTATTTTTTTTAATTGATTGACAGCACTAGTTCTGGTCAATTCTGAAATTCAAGCAACACTGAAATCCTAACCTTTTTGAGTAAAGAGGATTAATTATACATAAGCTTGTCCTCAAGACTCAGACTCACTCCATTAATACTTAGGAAATCAAGTGAAGCGCCACAACAAAGTTTGCAAATGCATTCTTAGCAAACTCAGATGAAAAGACTCCTTTTATTCCCTGCTCTGACTGAAGTTAAGTATTGCCCTGAGATACATTCACACATTAGGAAGTCATGCTTTCAGGTCAAATGTTTCTGTTTTTGAGTAAAGAGGATTAATTATACATAAGCTTGTCCTCAAGACTCAGACTCACTCCATTAATACTTAGGAAATCAAGTGAAGCGCCACAACAAAGTTTGCAAATGCATTCTTAGCAAACTCAGATGAAAAGACTCCTTTTATTCCCTGCTCTGACTGAAGTAAGTATTGCCCTGAGATACATTCACACAGTTTCAAGAAAATCTAAAACGGCAGACTTAAATAGTGTAAACACGTCCAAAAAAAAAAGCTGAACCTTTAAATCCTCAATCTCCAAAACCAAGTAACTTTAAATAACATGACAACACAGACTTGCATAAGGATAAAGATTAGCTTTTTTGATTGTGTTTAAAACTGATAACGGGTTTAGTGTCTATATAGTGGCATGCAGAGGAATCTATATCACAGAACAAACTTAAAGACTTAAGTAGGTGCTGTTTTCCTTGATATATGTAAGGCAATTGACACACTAAACCACAACAAACTCTTGTCTAAGTTATCATATTTTAATTTCACAGTTAATGCAATGAAATAAATTGAGTCGTATCTGATTTTGAGGAAACCTTTCATCCTTAAGAGAGGGGATCCTCAGGGCTCTATGCTTGGGCCTCTACTCTTTTTCTTGTATCTGAACAATCTTCCAAAAGCCAAAAGTCCTGTTGCAAATAGTCAAATGTATGCAGATGACAATGTGATATATATATATATATATATATATATATATATATATA